AAAATGAGCCCCTGAAGCACCGGTTTAAATGAGCCCCTAAAGCACCGGTTGGTCATCTTTCCACCATCAAATTTACACCTGATTTTCATCCAGCTTTCAGTAAAATTAGATATTAGACGATCTGATTTTAAGGCCATCCTACTAAGTATTAGGAATAAATCTTTCAATAGATCTGGGTTTACCTCATTTTTTGAAAACCCACCTTCTCTTATATCATTTTCTTCCTCTTCTGAAAGTTCCTTAACTGTGTCAGACCACATGTCACATGCATCTTTGACAGCATCACCATCATCATTGTAACCATCATCATCGTCATCATCATCAATCAATTTAACATCTTTTTTTGCATGCTCCTTTGATGCTTCTGTAAACTTACAAAAGTCTTTGCTGAATTCCTTATGTACACCAAGTACATGCCTAGCACAATTTTTAATATCAGCACAAAGTTTCTTTTTCGCTGAAGCAATATCTGTTTCTTTACTCCTCATGCGTATGGCACATCTCACGCCTTGGACAATTTTTTTCCTTACGTCTGCAGTAAGACCACCTTTTCCTTTAAAGTGTGGTTTATCAACAAACAACTGTTCTAAGTTGAGACATTTGCAAGCATGATTCGCACATTCAATTTTTTGAACATATGGACCCCAGCCAGCTACATTTTGTATTATGCTTGAATAAACTGAGCTATCACCATCTGCAATGACTTTCATGTATCTGACCCCATTCACAATTCTAAAAACCATCCAATATAATATCACTCTCCATTGATTGTGCAGAATCACTCCAGTTCTTAAAACATGTATGTGCTCGGGGGGTCTCATTTTTGTTTTGTGCGGCACTACAAATGTTACACAATTTATTACGAATGCCAATATGTAATAGTTTTTTCGAGTATAAACCAAAGATCACTGCAACACCTGCCATGGCATTGTACGTGTGTTTATGAGAACGCTTACACCAACCACCATCACATACAACTGCAATGGATTGTACACCTTGATAAAAACTTCCTTCTTGTATTGCATGTTCTTTTTCTTCATTACCCGCAGCTTTCATATCATCCTGTAAAACTTCCCTCCACCACTCTCCTATCTGCTCTTCAATTTTGGTATATTGATTTGGCTTCAAGCCAGGAATTCCCATAGTACCTAAGAGTTCATTCAAATCTGAGCATCCACCACCTGTTACCATACTACCCCATACACCTTTAACATTTATATCGGAAACTTCCACACCTTTATATGACAAATTATCACCTTTATTGAATATAAATTCCATATCACATCCTCTACATGTTGCCTTAAAAATGTGCCTTAAAAATGCTTTCCAAACCATTTCTTTTCTCAGAGGACAAAAATATAGGATCCATACCTTTCAATGCACAATCTCTTGCTTTTTCACACAGTGCTGAATGCATTGTTATCTCACCAACATGACTTATTAGACCCGGAAAATCAAATTCACCAGTAGAAGTAAATGTTAATTTCAAATTATCAGAATTCTTGTTAATAATATACCTTCTTGCTTTCCGGATACTTAGTCGGGATAATGTTAATTTAAGGTCATTCTTTTTCACACATAAGCAAAGGTTGTCTGGTTCTTTTAATAGTTTTTATACTTTCTTCTAATTTTTTCTTAGCAATCCATATCTTCCACATGCTACACCAAATCTACTGTATCTTTTCTTGGTTTTTAATCTCTTATTACCCATTGCAAACACTCACAATAAATCCAATCTATATATATATATATATATATATATATATATATATATATATATATATATATATATATATATATATATATATATATATATATATATATATATATATATATTTTAATATATGAAAACACTGACTAAAATAATCCAAAACTTATAATAATAAATGTCAAATTTGCACCTTCTTTTACACCATACTTCACTAATTTGCAAAAGTAAGCCATGTGTTTCAAAAACAAAAACAACTATTTAAGTTTTTTTAACTTTTATTTATATACTATTTACAAATCTATATATATTGATTCCCTATGTAATGAAGTTCAAAACATACAATATAATGCTGAAATTAAAGATTTAAAAAAAAAAATTGTAAACAAACCTTTCGTCAATTGTTGACAAAAATGTTATCGACTGCTAGAATGCAAATCGGTAAATACACCATTTGCACAGTTATATCTCATAGTGACCCCAATCGTACATGATCATGTTATAAATATCCTTGCTTTTATAAAAAAAATACTAAAAATGTACGTGATCATGAGTAAATATCCATACCTTTATCTAAAAATCAATATAAACATAATTCTCTGCCATCATTCTAGCCGCCATTACTGCTACCGTTATTATCCTATCTTTATCAAATGAAGAACGGGTACCAATTCTGTACTTGAACCACTTGCTTTCTGGAAAATAAATAACCTCTATTGCCAGAAAATATAAAAATAAGTTCCTTTCAAAGTAAACCGAAAGGTATACTTTTTTTATTGCAACATGTAGCATTCCAATCAATTAACGTTAATATGTTAAAAGTAATATTCAATATTTTAATAAGTCACGATCTTTGCTGTAAAAACTTTTGTTGCCGATTAATTTGTTCCCGGTAATTTTTGCCGAATGCATAAAGGGAAATCAACAAGCTAAACAAAATGAAGAGATTATTTATGTGCAATAAAATCAGAGAAATGTGCTATAATTCAGAGCAAGTATTAGTCAATACATAGAGGAAGGTAATATTTAGAGTTTTGTTGCAAAAGATAAAACGATCCCTGCAAATGACGACATCTATCTTACGTTTAATTTCATAAACAAAACCGATTTCCATACTGAAAAAATACAAAATGGCGTCCAAAATTTTTCAAGCGTCATAATACTGGAGGATTAAGCATTTATTTAATTGTTAATTTCAATTTGTAAACAAGTGGAGCACTTAAACAGCATCATTGTTTGACCAATTTTTGTGCTAAACTTATTTTACATAGATGACATAAAAAACGGGGCGAATATTCGATTTTTATTTCTCATAAACTTCAAAACGTTACTAACTTATGTCTCTGGAAATGGTTTAACATTGAACTAGTACTGTTATGCATCAAAATATTTAATAATGAGATTCAATGATGGCTAATTTCTGATATTTTAATGCTTGAATTTTTGTGGTGTAAAATGTCAAGGTCAGCAATGTCTGTCAGACAAGTTACCTTAATATTTGGTCACATTTCTGAATTTGCCACTGGTCGGCCATTTTGAATATTAATGTGATGACGTCACAGGGTACTATAAATACTGCGCGTTAGCATATCGTTGTCATCTCATATCAGGTCGTCTGATAAGTAACTCTTTTGAATCGATAAGTGACATAAAATAGATCTGATGCAGGTGAATTTCACTTGTTTGTATTGTTAACATGTTATATTTACTTTGCCAGTGTAGAGAACTGTAACAGTTGTTCCAGAATTGGTTCATACCCATTCTGGTATAGTACCCAATCTGGTAACTACCAGATCTGGTATCTTATTGATTAATTTGTACCAAACCAGGTACGTGTTTACTGAATCTAGTCAGCTTTAATTATAATAATATTATAGACTTTAGGCATCCATGACTTTATGTATATTTAAATAAAAAGATCTATATTATATTTTAATTAAAAGAGTTTTAAGTTACAAAATGTCTTATGCGTTCACTTTTTAATTGGTACTTGGGCCGTGTAAAAACGAACCCTGAGTTAATGTGAGGCTGCAGACTGTCCTGGAAACACAAAGCAGGTGTCTGGGCACCACAATATTATGAAAAGGGAAGATGAAACTGGGCAGCGTTGCCTAAATCTAAGAAGCATCGAGAATGATTCTGATAAAAAACCGTTTTTTATTACCATGCTGTTTATGTTGTTAAAAAGGTTTGAATCAACCTACATCTGTTAAATTTTATAGGTTGAACAGCCATGTCCAATACATGACCACTATTGATTTGAGGATCATAAGGTCAGGGTCACAATGACCTTTACACTGAAAAGTGTGGTTTCTGGAGCATAACACAAGTTCCATATGGCTTACAGTCTTCAAACTTCTTTAGTTAAAGTATACATTGTATTTCCTTCAGAAATGGGTACAATGAAAGATGGCTGCTTTACAGTTGTCACAATATTTTTTGTTTATTCTATTTGCTAATTCTACGCTAATTGCTTTTGCTCTAAGCAACATTCCATTTATTTTGTTATCAATAATTTGGTTTAATTTTTGTCGTTTTTGTCTAGTCTAGTGATTTTAATTCACTTTAAACTTAGCAAACTTATTCAAATTGGGAATGCATCTTAAAAGGACAGATAATCTTTAATTTCAAGTTTTCTCAGTAACGCCTTTTTTCACACAATTTCATGAAAAGACTAAACAAAACTCAGACTACGATTTTGAAATGCTCGCTTTTGTTTTAAGTGCTCTCAAAGAGTTCTCCTTTGTAGAATTCTTGTCTGCAACATTTCACTTAAATTTAATGGGGTTTCCTTTTAAATATTATGGCTTGGGTGTTTAATTGGTGGCGAATTAATCTTCTTAATTATTAAATATGCAATAATTGTATAAATGTTTCGTATGTATCTGTTTTCTCAAAGAAAACATCTTTGCGCCACCAACTACGTTCAGTAATTTTATACGCAAGCTTAAACGTTGTCAATTATGTATGATTAATCATACATTGATTAATACTGGTATGCTAGTTGTTGTTTTTTATTTAGTTGAATAGTGCGATTTCATCCACTTCATAACATACTGTCAGCTTTTATTTATTCTCGGTTTATATATTAGACAATATTATCTTAAGAATATTTGTATCGATATGCAATTACATTTAGCGTCCTCCACCATACGATATCGTAAGGTATAGAAATGTTTAATTATTGATAATTTCTTGGAGGTGTAAATTTCATTCACATTGAACTCCATAAAATTCTAATTTAATACTAAAACACAAAACGGAAAGTTGTATCTATTTTATTTTTGATATTTATTTCACGCATTAAAAGTCAGAGAGTAATTTGACAAATAAACATTCATGCAAAAGAATGAAAAGAATCAAATATTTCATTTGCTTTGTTATTTTTATGCATTGTTAATTCATTGAACTAACATGCTTATCTTTAACTTTAAATCAACAACACTCGAATTTTTAAAATTTATCAGTCATGCACAAGAATAGTCATCATCAAATGCTAACATTTGTTGATTAGAGTCTACAAAATACCGCATTATCTTATAAGACTATGTCAGAAAATGATTTTAGTCTAGCCATAATGGCACATCTTAATGATGTAAGGTATGGTATCATATTTCTGACACCTTTGACAGCGTCGGGTACAGATTACAGAAAACCATCTGCAGCAATAAGACACACTGTACACGCATTTCACAGTGTATTGTATTTTGTAATGACAACAATAATTTCCAACTGGCCATGACCTTTTCTTGCGACTTCCCTCTGCTACAAACAGAAAAGTAAGTACAAACTTAATTTTATCTGCAAATTAAAAGAGCAATATGAAAAACATGTACTGTTTGGATTTTCTAAACAAGTTCATATTCATTACATTCGGAACACGTCCTATATTTCATCATATTTTCAATTAAACTTTTTAAAGCTTCTGAATACATTTGGTTAAAAATTTGTTGTCAATGTTACATGTATGCCAATATGTGTTTCAATCATTTATTTAAAAAGATGGCCCGTTTTCCTCGATCATTCATTTTAAACTTATATTTATATACCTGTAGCTTTGTCATCAATTACGTCACAGCTCTGTTGTTCCAGCATATAGAGTGACTGACATTGATCGAAAACATGTGTAGCATTTAGACCCATTCCCATTGCGTCCTCGTAGGATACTGCGTTACGTACATAGCAAATGTCTTTATCATCGGGGGTGGTCTGAAAGCAATGTAGGTTTGCAGTTTTAATTTTCATTAACTGAACATCTGAACAAAAGAGTTCTTAGTGTTAGAGGGTCTTAAATTTGAAATTATTTAAATCTTATAACAGTAGAATACGATTTTCAGCGAATTTTAACAATATTCTGAATTGCTCATTTAAATAACGTTGAATAATTTGTATGTACTGTTTAAATTACAGTTAAAGTTTATTTGTCCATACACAACACGACTTGACAATGTTATTTATTCTTTCACCAATATTTTGAAGTGATTGTACTAAAGCGTTCCGTTGGGGCTATTAACAAAGCGCAAAAAATCAAAGCAAATCATGTTTTTCGATTTTGCGTCCTCATTCAAATAAATAGCTTCGATATCCTTCCTGATTAAGTCCCTGCACATCTAAATCTGAAACTTGAAAGTATGTGTTTTATAAGCATTTTAATGTAAATTGATAAAATGAAGGCTATCTTGGAATAAACAATTTGCTTTGCAACATTTTTCTGCAAAGGTAAACCGACAAAGTAGAATAATATAAGTGGCAATACCTCGTTAGATTCTGTTTCAATACTTCTCAGAAAACAAGGGTGTTCATCAGCTTCAACTGGTTTGTCAATTTGGAGTCCCTGTGAATTATTTTATTATATGCATATTCTTTTATAAATTTATGAATCTAACAATAACATGCCGAGCTCGTAAAAATAAGAAAGTTTATTATAGCTGAAATATGTTTATACTTTGAATGTTCTATATGGATGTGCGATTAAGTCGAACATATTCAAAGGGATGTTGATAATGACATTTCAATATTTACTTTATCCTCTTTAAAGTAGAGAGTTTCCAACGGCCACTTGCCAAGGGAACTTTCAAATAAAGCACACAATAAATTATATCAAAAGTCTGAGGTATGGCTATTGACTACCAGTGAAAGATTTTGATAAATGCTAGAAATGCACATGGACCATATAATGAAATAACTTCTGTGTATGTGTTAACAGAAATACGGACCATGGTACCATTTTATCCTTTGACCTTTAAGTATGATCCAGACCGTGATGGTAAGGGTTTGGGTGTAACACATCACACTTTGTCTTAATATGGGAATATTTTTTCAAACCTATTTTTAAATCCTTCGATGAATGAAAAACGAACACAAAAAGGCCCCTTTACAGACCATGTTAAACTTTGACCTCTAAATGTAATCTTAACATTGGTGATTTAAATTCCCTGATGAATGGCTGATTAATAACCCGGAGACAAAGTGGGACAGACAAACATACTGAAAGACAGGCGTTCTTCCTAAGATGATATAATGTGGTATTCTTAAATCTTCCTTTATTTCTGAAACCCTATAAACAACATATTTTACCCCGTAAGTAACTTTTGTCCCACAAGTATAATATTTATCGAATTAACACGGATTTTCATTCCATAATGTCACTCTTGTCCAAACAGACAGACAGACAGACGATTGTTGAGATATCAACACAAAATGTACCGCGAAGGCTAATTAAGATAATGTTTAAATAATAGTAGTAAAATAATGGTAAGCAGACCAAGGTTTAGATAGACTCTCTTAACATGATGTAAAAAACAATCAAGCCGGTTTTACTATTATAAATACTTAATAATGAAATTGAATTCGCTTAAGAAAATAATTGTTTATGCACATTACATCACAGTTTTGTTTTTCTATAAATAAACTTGTAATGTTTGGCTCCAACGGATTGAGAGACAAAAAAATACGTTACGTAAATGTATTTGAATTCATTTCCGTGAATGCAGTTAGCGATTTCCGACCATAAAAAAGGTTAAATGACTAATTGGAAATTATGGAACTTGAATATAATATCTTCAACTGTTCGAATGGTAAAATCAATAAAGAAAAACCTCCTCTTCAAGTATTTCAACGGTGGCTACAACTTTATTGTTTTTGTCTAATATTGTTACTTCTTCCTCATTTCCATTTTGAAAAGTCTCTGTGTGAAGATCGCCATCCTAAAATAAAATCATGTTTCTAAAAGTTATTTATAAAAAACACTCAATACCATTTGAAAGAAATGAATGACTGAAAGGATAAATCAAATTTAAAAGATACACAAGGAACACGAATCAATGCGCAGAAAAGCTGTACACAAATTGTAAAAACCCAACAGACGTTTTAATCATCCAGAATAAGTACGCACTGCATAGCGCTGTTTTAGTTCTAGAAAAAAGATCGTATGAAATTTGTATGGTCATTTAAAAAGTTGCTGAGATTGATGGCCCATTTACAAGAATAGATTCACCGAGATTTCATCGCAAAAATAAATACATTTTGTATACCCTTGTTTTCAAGCAATGTCGGTTAACCCAATTATTGCGTTAAAGGTTTATTTTCGAGTTTGACTTGCATTAACGCAGGTTGCATTTTACGACAACGCCAGAGAAGTCTTCATTTTACAGTCTTCACCTATCATATAGAGAAAATAAGAATCCCCGAAGAAAGTCCAAAACGACAAAATTGAACATGTTGCAGGCTTTGTTTGATTAAGCCTGTTCATGGACGGTACTGTCAAGTGCAAACTACCGTCCATTCCCCCTGGCACCGGCTTAAACAGAATTTAACATTTAAACATAAAATGGTAAAATTTTGAATTTAGAAACAACCGCAGATGTGACTTGTCGCAACGATTTTGTTTTGGCGAATTCTTACGTCGACGCAGCATTTTTTACGTTAGCAAACGTCGACGTGTTTCTGTCGAGCGTACACGCAGGTTTTACAACGACACACGTACGTTGTACTATGTAAAAGACGTGTGCGATAATACAAGGTGCACATTGAAAATACGAGCTCTTTAGTTTTCTATTGGAATTGAAGAATGTTCTTGTTTTTTTTTGTCACGAAAGTCCTGATGACCGTGCTCGAACAATAAAAGATGCTGTCCTTCTGCGCCATTCTTAAACGCATCCCTGACCATTTATACTGTCTTAACATTAAATTTACTTTACTGCACTGCCAATTAGCATCCTTGACTCCTCTTAAGACTTAATACTTTTGCTTCCATTTTTTCCGAGTAAATGTACGAGAACTTTCATTAAATTAAAAGGTGAAGTATTGTTCATGCAGACACATCTATGTCTCTGGTTCATGGCAGTCCTAGATTATTGCGAGACATTCGTGTAGTTCTAGTTGAACAACGGAACGTAAACGCAGTTGTATGTCTATAAGACATAAGTCTCTCATGACAAAATTTGTCAATGCAGGATAGTAGATGAAATAAAAACGACATAGATTCGGTATAGAAAAATGCAGTACAATATCTAAGACAATGCAGGACAAACGGTAAGACGGTGCCCAGTCGTTAGGTTATTTGACATGATAAAAACCCGGCCACGACAAATACTGTACTCATCCTTGTGTAAAATATTTTAATCACAGAAATTTATTGAAATCTATGAAATAGTTATTATTTAATTACACTATTTATTCATATTTATTATATGCTTTTCAGTGGACTACTGATTTATCCGTGAAAATTATATTTGATAATTTCACAGTGAAAATTATCAAAATATAGTTTCACACTTTTCAATGATGAGACTACTTTTTTTTAGATTCCCCCTTGTGGTACCTCAATTTTATTACTGTTGACAATTCTGACATTTCAGGGCTGTTAAGAGGAAACAGTATTCTCAAGAGTTTAAAGCTCACTCGATGAAATAAAATTTCATCTTACACGCAAACAAACAAATATCATCTATATATTTATATTGTAACCACATATACATGTAGTGTGTACAATTTTAAACATAAAATATCTACTTAGTGATACGTCAAAACATGTTTATTTTATATTTACAAAGAGACTGTTTAGCAATTATAAATGTTTTCTAATATTAAATTTGAGCAAAAACATGAACTAACCTGTACTTCATCAGAATCAGCCCAAACCGCTCCAAACACCAACACCATTAACAATACAGCATTCTTTGTCTCCATTTTAGCAGAATTGGGACTGAAATTGTTAAAAAGTAATATTGCCATAAATCCAAAAAAATCGCAATTCAAACAATATAAACTGCAATTTTCCTTAATTGATATATGCATGCATATAAACAAACAACTTGTAACTTCTTTTCTGTCATACTTAAACGATGTGACAGTACCTATGTTTACTTTTGTAAGAACCTCAGAAATTTAAAAAGTTGTATCGAAAGAGTATTAATCACATGTTGCAATAAAAATTATATCTCAATAATCGTAAGTGTAAAGCGAAATAGAAAACTATAATAACACCGGAAATGATGAATTCTAAATGCTAACTTATAGTATGGTTTTGGGTAAATGATATTGAATTTATACTATACCTGTTCTGAATAAACCAATCATCGAACTTTCTATACCATAAATCATAATGAACACCGTGCAGGATGAATCCTTACTCTCTGGGGTGTATGTTTAATAGCTCTCCACGTACTATTTAGAGGTTGTGAATATATTTTGTATTGTTTTGCGTATACTTGAGAATTCTAGACCAGGCAACTTTTGCAATTCATCCAAACACTTTAGTAAAAAAAAACTATTATGTAGACCTACTAGAGAGTATTTGTGTTTACGTACGTCACGTGGTTGGCAACTTTATTGCTTTACAACATTTTCTTATTACTATTTATTATACTAAATAGCCGTGTAATTCACAAAAAAAATCTTTTTCTTAAAGAGATTTTACGATTATATTTTATCACTAAAATCGTAAAAAGAAAACAGAAGAATCATGACAAGTTGATTTATCACTATTTACCACATTCGTAACTTTTCGAGTGTCGTATTATTATTTTTATCTGAAGAAAACAAATAATTACAGTCTGCAGGAGATAAAAGTATAAACTCTCAAATGTTGGCATTTCTATTTTAGTGTATCTGTATTTTTAACATTACAAATAAAAACACAATATTATAGCATATGCATATAAATCATTGAAAGGAAAAGAAAAAAAAGTAAAATAAAACTCAGTCTAGAATGTTCTCAATGTCGTGAATATTAAACATAGAAAACATATATAGCTTCCTTTTTTGCAAAATCATATGATACATAAAATTGTTACTGTTACTTATATCATAAACTTTGGTATAATATATCATAAATTTTGGTAGAAAATATTTTTATTATTTTTTTTAGCATTATGATATCTAAGGCAGGTGGTAGGTATAACGATCTTTACTTAAATGAATATCACAATAAAGTAAACATGAAATGCAAGTTGGAGATTGCGCTCAACTATTCCCTTCTCGGTGATGGTTAAACAAAAGCCTTGATATTGTAGGAATCATGATATATATTGCACAGTTACAATGATTGCTTAAGGTATTACCACCTAACTGAAACTATAACAAACTGAAAATTTGTAAAATATAAAATAATTTTACGTTTAGTTATAATTTTATTAGACTTTAAAATATAGATAGATAGATAGATTTATTTCGGCATAAAGGTAAATATGTTACATGATAAACAAACACAATATAGATTAAAACAATTACAAATAAATAAATAAATAAATGAATAAATACTACATTATGTAAACCATGACATGTTCCCAAAACCAAGGATAACACAAAAAAGAGCAAGCTCTTATTTCCATTGTGGTCCTTAGCATTTGGTGGCATGACATAGAGAGGTAGTTCATAAAAGAAAACAAATATCACAAATTATAAGATAAATCACATTAATGAAGGATATCATTTAAAATCATCACAATTTAAGATGTAAGGTATTGTAAATAAAAAGTCATTATCACATTAAGAAATAAGTATGTGCATAGTAAGAAAGGATTACATTAAAAAAAAATATCACAGTTGTTATGAGTATGTAAGGAAAGAACATGCCATAGATTACACTATTCAAAAAAAGATAAAGTTTTTAAAGTCTTAATAAAAAATTTAAAACAAATATCAAAAAATGAAACAGTAAACCTGAGCCGAAAAATAATTCAATAAAAAAATGAAAATATAAAATTTTCTTGCAAAAATTTTTAAGAAAGACACTTAGATGCTACTTAAAAAGTGACTTTTGATAGCTACCTTAAAACGATGAAATTTGTTAATTTCAGTTATGCAAGTTGGAAGACTGTTCCATAGTTTAGCACCAATAAAACTGAAAGACTTTGACCCGGAACCTTTAACCTTAGGAAGACAATACCCTCCTTTTTTGCTCAGTCTGGTGCAATAAGAATGCATAGATTCCTGAGAAACAAAATAATCACTTAAGTACTCTGGGGCCATTTGGTTTTTAACCTTAAAAACGTGACATAACATGATTTGTTCAACTCTTTTACAAACTGGTAACCAATTAAGGGATTTAAAATGGGAAGGGCCAATATGATCTCTGTAATCAAGGTTTAGAACAAATCTCATTTTATTTTGTGTTGTCTGTAATTTATTTTTCAAGACCTGAGTTAAACCATTATACCAGACACAGCAGGCATAGTCAAAATGGCACTGAATTAATGAATTGACAAGCAGTTTTTTGGTATGCTGTGTAAGGAAATCTTTCTTACGGTAAAGGAACTTTAACCTGGCGTTAGCCTTCTGAATTACTGAGTCTGCCATGTAACCAAAGGACAGGTACTGATCAATAGTTACCCCAAGATATTTGATGGATGTGGATGCTTCTATTGCAGTGCCATTACAATTTATGTTTAATTTGGAATGTGACCTGAGTTTCTGTTTAGACCCAAACACAATGGACTCAGTTTTACCTAAGTGCAACGATAACTTATTATCAATTAACCATTGACTTACTGAGGACAAATCTTCAGATACAGAAATTTCCACCTCAGATAATTTTTTTCCAGAAACAAGTATTCCAGAGTCATCAGCATATAGCAATAGTCTATTTTTCACTACTGCTGACATGTCATTGACGTAAATTAAAAAGAGGAGGGGCCCAAGGATTGAACCCTGGGGAACACCACATGTTATACTAGAAGTAGAAGAAAAACTACCTGACACATCAACAAGCTGTTGCCTCTCAGAAAGATATGACCTAAACCACCTTATGATGTCATCACCAAGACCAGAAGCTTGAAGCTTCATTAAGAGAATGGAATGGTCAACAGTGTCAAAGGCTTTCTGTAAGTCTAACAGAGCCATACCTACCACATTACCCTTATCAATTTCATGCCTAATGTAGTCTGTCATGTAAATGAGACAAGTATCAGTGGAGAAACCATTTCTAAAACCAGATTGGAATTTATACAACAACTTATTTTCTTTAAAATATGTTTCAACTTGGTCATAAACTACCTTTTCGAGTATCTTGGAAACTACATTTAAAATTGACACAGGCCTGTAGTTACCTACAGAAAGTTTATCATTCTTTTTAAAAAGGGGGACAACTCTAGCAGTCTTAAGCTCATCAGGAACTACACCTTGGATAAGAGACAAGTTGACAATGTGGGTTATAGGACCTGCAATTATAGGTGACCCATCCCTGACAAACCGGGAAGGTATACCATCTAAGCCAGTGGCTTTGCTAGCACTTAGTGAATTTAAGTATTTAAAAACTTTGCTTTTACACAAAAGAGAAAAAGAAAAACTATTAGGAAAAACACCTCTTTCCGCATAAAATAAGATATCAGATAACATGTTTGTTATAAGATGTAGCAATTATTTCGCCAATAAATACCTATATCAATTAAAAGAATTAAGTTAAACATGATTTTATTTCCAAAATGGATATGACAGATACATTAATAATGTTTAAAGAAAAAAAGTTGACCCTTCTGGGGTATAAACCTACGGTCCTAAGTTTCGTTTACAGAAATTCTAGCATCTATTTAATACTCCTCAAAGCAGAAAATAATACATTAGGATGGTCATTCCATAAGATGACACGTAAAATTTACAAAATGACATAATTTTGAATGTTATGAAACGCTCTTTCTTTTGTAAGAATATTTAAGCATATCAAAAGAACATGCGTCTTCATTCCTTATAATAATAAGTATTAAAACTGGCCTTAACAACATAATACCGTCAAAGTGTACGTTTCTCAGAGGAATGCTCGTTAAAGACAAGAGTAGCGACATTTCATTAAAACCAGTTATATGTTCATTGATTTGTTAGATCAACCTCACAGGGCAAATATGTTCAAGAAAATGAATGCAATTCGTGAGTGCAATTCGTGAGTTCATCGTTATTTTATTAAAAAATGGAATTCAATTGCGCTATACTAATCTCATGTTATTCAATTGTGTATTACTACTGTCTGCATATTTATCATTACAGTTGTTCAGTGATTTTTACCACATCGGAATATCACATGCTGAAAACCTGCTGCAGTCAATATTAGATAAGTTTGATACGTTTGGTAAAGAACTGGGACAGTGGAAGATAAAATTACACGTAAATGCAATGAACGAAATAATAAATCATGTTTTGTTATTCCTTGCATTTTAACAATAAATATTTAATAACGGAAGTTAAGATAAATTATTGAAGAAATTAATAGAAAAATTAAATTAAATTCTCATCTTATATCAGTCTGTGACAATTTTTTTTAATGCAATTTTCAATGTACAGGAACTCATTTTCCCATGTAAGTGTGCCATAGAAACAGAAGATGCTTCCATTGTAAGTGACGATGATACGGACATATCTCAGCTATCTCCAAACGTTTCTTCCGAGAGTTCTGAATCAATGGATGAATGGGAAGATTTTGCTATAGAAAATGTTTAAGAAGAAACAACACTTCCATTTGCTGAAAATATTCAAGACATTCCTCATGGTAATTTTCTTCTTAATTATTTTAACTGATACTGTGAATAGTAAACCGTTCTGCAAATAAAATTCTTTAAGTGTGATATCAGCTTTGACATTTTGTGTGAGTATTAAATTCTTCAGTATAGGTACCAGCACTTGCAGTGCAGAACGTATGTATTCTGTACCAGTATCAATTTAGTACATCTTTGATTGTAAAATGTATTATGAAAACATTTAAAGCAGTTACAACAATATTTTGTTTTTCAAGGTTATGCAATTTGTTGGGACGATGTTGGGACGCAGGTGAAGGTCCGTCATCAGACTCGCAACCATGAAAAGCAATATTTAACTGGGGCACTTGTAAATGTAGCCAACCACCGTGTACAAAGCAGTCACCCCGTTGATAAAACTGTTCTGTCGGCAAAAGTATTTTTTAAAAGAAGCCGAAATTCAGAAGATAATGGACGCATTGATAAATAGTGTGATAGAGATATTACTAAATTATGTTT